TGTCTTGTTTTAATTTCCATATTCCCAATTATTAGTGAGATTGACCATCTTTTCTCATGGGTATTGTTCATGAGAAGCAGTCAGGCACAGTGGCTGCACGTATGGCCTCTGGAGCCAGGCTGCCTGTGTCTGAGCCCAGGTTTTGACAGTTACTAGCTGTATGACCTTGAGCAAGTTACTTCTAGGAACTGGAGATGACAATGGAATTCTTGCAAGGTTGTCATAGAAGGAATGTATATAAAGTTTTTTAGTGTGGCCAGACATATAATAAATACTATATGTGCCCTGAGCTGTTGCTCTTCTAATTGTTGTTGTTAATCTTTTTTCCTATATGAAGTGTGTGTTTCTATTTTTTGCCCGATTTTCTATTGGGCTGTTTGTCTTTGTGTAATTTGATTTGTTAGCATTCTTTATATATTTTGCACATTTACACTTTTTATTATTTTTTTCCTTGGCTATAAATATTTTTCATGGTTCATTTTTTTCATCTTATGTGTAGTACTTGCTTTTCTTATATTAACAGAAAGATGTAGAGTTATAAACTGTAAATGAAGTGCTATACCTTAGTATGAGGCATAAATATGAAATATTGTCAGACACCCTTCTCTCTCCAACTGTTAGATGATGGACATAAAACTGCAAAGTCACTATTTCTCTGCCCTTTCTTTAATAATAGAATCCAGCCTTGCTTATTCTTTATTTTTAAATAAACATAAAGCATATACAGTTAAAAATGCATTGTCAACAGTGCCAACCCAAACAGGCAGAAACAAAATCAGCCTGTCAGAATTAGGAGGACTTTGGGGGCACATCTGACAAGTAGATGTTTTCTTTTTCTTCTTTTTTTTAGTACCGGGAATTGAACTTGGGGGCACTCGGCTACTGAGCCATATCCCCAGCCCTATTTTATATTTTATTTAGAGACAGGGTCTCACTGAGTTGCTTAGAGCCTTACTGTTGCTGAGGCTGGCTTTCAATTCTTGATCCTCCTGCCTCAGCCTCCTGAGTGGCTGGGATTACAGATGTGTGCCACTGCACCCAGCAAGTAGATGTTTTCTTTGGTGTGTTTGCATTTGATCACACAGCATTGGCCTTCAGTGTTCCATTTTTTTTTAATTAGTTGCCAAATCATTTCACATTAAAAATTTCAGCATTTTTGTTATGACAGTGAAAACTGGAACATCTGGCATGCTGGCCTGGGCTCCCATGGACAACAACAGTCTGGAGCTAAGAAGTAGCTGATCCCTTTATGTGGAAGCTCACTCTCTAGTTTGTCAAAATCCCCGACACACTCTCTGGCCTCTATCATTGACCTCAGTGGCAATTGTCATTTATCACCAGGTCTGAGCTCCTGTTTCCCTCACTCATTTGTCTGAGCCCTGTAGTCATTTGAGTTTGTGTGGAAGCTAACAGAAGGTGAGGGAAAGTAGCACTGTTCCATTTACTCCCTAGCAACATAAAAGTACCAGGAGAGACGTTTGTTAGTTATTTTTCAACAGGAGTACCTTCCCCATTATGACTGTTTATAATTGTAATTTAAAAATTTGATGAGAATATCCTTATATATCCTGTCATAATTTGTAGTTGGCAGATGTGGGCAACTAGATAGGGAAAGTTGCTTAATACCTTGTAGCCCTGATATTAGTCTCTTGACTCACCAACTTCTACGTGTCCATGTTAATTTTTGTTCTTTTTTTCAGCACATTATTTTTTAATTGTATATGGACACAATGCCTTTAGTTATTTATTTTTATGTGGTGCTAAGGATTGAACCCAGTGCCTCACATGTCCTGGGTGAGCGTTCTACCACTGAACTACAACTCTAGGTCCAACATTTTTTTTTTTTGACTATTGAAAATCCCAGTTTTCTAATTCTCAAATCAAATAACTTTACAGAAATTGTCTTTTGCAATTCTGGGCTATTCAAAGGAGTCCTCAAAGGTAAACTCCACTCTCTGTGGCCTTTCCTAGTTTTTTTTTTTTGGTCATTTTATGGGGGTCAAATTTTGTTACTGATGACTCTTCATTGACAGATTTTAAATATTCCATCATACTACAATATAACAAGCCATTTTCTTGTCCTCCCCTAATTTTTTCAAAGTGAATTTCCTCAAATCCCTGCCTATCTTCTTCAATCTAGACAAAGTTTTAGTGATTTTTAGGATAAATTAATGCTAATTTTTATACTCTGGGTCTAGGTAGTTCCTAGATATGAAACACAGACATCTCAAGGATGAGTAATCTCCCCCCCTTTCCCAGCATTCCCTTTTTATCTTAAAGTTCTGAAATGACTGAGAAGCCAAATGGAATCCTTGAAAATTCTTTTTCCTATTCTTCTTCAGCTCTTCTTGTCTTCTTATGTACTTTTGGAAGTGAGAAATTATTCTCTTTACATATTTATTTATGTTGTATTTTCAGGATAGGCTAATTGCTGTCTTAAACAGGCCCCAAATATATAGTGTTTGAGTGTTATCTGTGGTTTTTATCTTGCTCATTTAAGATATGAGTGAACAGGTTTGAGATTGAAGTTGGACAGAAACTCTACCAACTTCACTATATAATCTCCAAAGTTCATCTATAAGTTAACCCTTTTTCATACAAGCATTTGGCCAAAATGTATGGAGGCATGTACCTGGGAAATTTAAAATAAACTTCAGTCCTGGAAATGGTGTGCATTATCTCATCTCGCATTCATTGGACAAGATTCAAGTATATTGCCAATCTTTGCTGTCAGGGAGGCTAGGAAATACTGTAACGGGGTTTATGACCAGGATAAGAGGAGAACGTAAGTTTTGGTGAATGACTAGCATCCCTGCTGCAGCTGTGAGATATTGAGGAGAAGCAATCCTGGTGAAACTTTAGGAATAAGCCATAGGAATCATCCCAAGAACAAGCAGGAAGGATCCTTGAAGATCAAAGTTGGACCTGTAAACTAAATCTCCAAAACCAGTCTAACCAGTTGCTCTGTGGAGAGTAAAAGAAGTCCTTTATTCATGGTGGGTCAGAGTGATAAAGTATGAGAGGACCACCCACCTGCAATAGATAGCAGGAACACCAAGGGAAAGCTGGCTCAGGGTGCCCAGAGTTTAGATTCTTAGTCTAGTTGGACTTCCCTGAAGGCCATTTTCCTGTGTTTGTTCTTCAACAAGGTTATTTTATTTTTAGAACTGATGACCACAGTTATCTACAGGGATCCCAATTCAGTTTAGTATATGGGAATTCTATTATCTACCAGGCACTGTGCCAATAGTAGAAAAACACCACTTAGCTTAGTAACTCATGGCTTTCCTTGTTTGTATTGTTCATTGCTTGGAAATAATCCACATCCTCCTTAGTCCCCTATTTATATTTCTATGTCAGTCCCAGGTCTGTCACCATGCTTTACTCTTGCAGTCTGGGTGGGACAGTGTGGCTGGTGGCCCTGCACCCACCCAGTTTGTGCTTGGCATTAGCAGGAAAGAAGCAGTGGGCAGCGCACAGTGAGCCCCTGGGTCATCGAGGTCTGCAGTTCCTTCCATAGCACTGAGTTTCTTTGTCCCTACTTTTTCCCCTGTCTGCACTCCACTAACAATATTCAAAAATCTCATCCAAACTTCTGGCAACTCTTCTTTTTACACTTTTGACTGATGACTTCCTAAAACTCCAGTCAGTGGGGTGGCTTCCAGGCTGTGTGACTTCATTAGTCTCCTTGTCTTAATCTGGGTGAGATAAGTAATCCTAGATAAATGGAAGGCCTGTGTGTCTCAACTGCGGAATTCTTACACTTCTCAGGGTTTGTGTTTTGTTTCACTTTTAGATCCTTCTTTCCAGCAACCCGCTAAGCTGATTTAAATGCCAGGTTCTACCTAAGAAATTGTTCAATGGGGGTATTGGTATCTCTCTTTTTTAAAAATTTCTAATTCCTCTTGTTGATTCCCCCACCCCACACTGGATGATATTGGTTCTTACTGAACCCCTTGTGTTTCATGCCCACTTCCTAAGTTCTTGGTGACTCTGATCTTAGCAGTACAGAAATAGCAGGACATCAGGAAGGAGATGGGAGCAGGCTGCAAGAGTCTGCCACAATATAAATCAGGCCTCAATGAGGTGTTTGGTTATAAATGTGGAATAAGAGGTTAAAAAAATCCCATAAATTACATGGGAAAAGGACAAGGGAGTAGAAAATAACCCAAACAGAATGGAGCAGTCATTACAGAAAGGAATGGGAACTAATTTCAATGGTCTGTGACTGACATTAGGTGAGAGGAGAAATTGGGGTAGTGGCTTGGATTAAAGGAAAAACAAAGAACTTCTCATTAAGAAGAAGAAATTTCTCATTAAAGAAATTTCTAGGTCAACCTTTCAGAGCTCTAAGGAAATGTCAGAAATGCAGACCAGAATCAGCGTCACTTTTTAACCTCTGTGGATGGAAGTTCTCTGCATGCCTTGACTTAAATGCACATCTGAGTGTGTGTCTGGAGACAGAGGGTTCATTTCTGCTTTCAGAATCTCAATAGATGGGAAAGAGCTGCTGAATTAGAGGGTACATCTATCCTGTAGGAAGTCAAAGCCATGAGGAAGATGGGGACTGGAGAAAGACTCCTGGTGGGTGAAGGGCTTAACGTAAGACTGGTGTGAAATGAGGTGTTGTAGGGGATTCATGGTGCACAGTGCCATACTGGAGTCTGGTGTTTGACTTAGAACATTCACATAGGAAATTAGGCCCTGTACTGTGGAGTCTGAGAGAGTGTCACCTCCATGTCAGTAACACAGAGTGGGAAAAATGAAATCATAGGTTCGCATTTCACAAACCTAGTTTTCTATTTTCAAACTAATGTTCTTCAAGAATGCAGTCTTGTTTTAATTTGAGACTGTAACTTGCTCTCCGCCTAACCTTTTGTTCTCCCTGGGATACTTTCAGTCATCTCCCAATAAAAGTCTAGGTTAGTATCCAAAGCCACAATAAACAACAGGATCTCTATTTTTATGAAGGCACTAACACCTGTTTGTGTTTCTGGTAGCACAACTGCTGCATTCTTGAGCAAACTGGACGCAGAGTTACCAAACAGAAGTGCCTGCCAAACTGCTCCTCGTGATCTGAAGTTCTCTACACAGGTAAGTAGAACATCAGGTGAAGTGCTGTTTGGCATCTTCCAAAGAACTGTATAGAGACTGTGGTTAAGGTCATTGAGTGACGGGGACAGCATAGAACTCTGGAAGTAAAGGCAGATGGCCTGATCTGAAACTTTGACCTCAACTGCTCAATGAGCTACAAAATCATGTGGATATTTATTACCTACACAATGGTCATCTGTAAAGTCATTGTCCTCGCCCAGTCATCACCCATCCTTCCCTCAAACTCTTATGTCAACATAAAGTCTACTGTGTGCACAGAGCACTCTAATAGGATGAAGGAGAAAAATAGTCAGAAAGCACCATTGCTTGGTCAGGAAGAAGCATTTGTGTCAGACTGTGTGTGTAGGGACACTTCCTAGTAAAGGGACATCTGAGCTGATGTTTTAAAGGTGAGTTAGTAAAGCCAAGAATCTCTCCAGGTGTCAGAGTTAATTAAGACACAGAAGCAAAAACAGGTATGAAGGCAAGAAAAAAAGCATGGCTCATGTTGGGGAAGAAGAGACAGAGCTGCAGAGGAGAAGGGAACTAGAAGGCTGCAGAAGGAATCAGGAGCCATAAGAGGCTTTGCTCAATTAGGGTACCAGTAGCTACTTGTGTGGGAGAGTTTATCCTATAGAGTTTCAAGGGCATCCGTAGTGCATGGGCACAAAATATTAATAGCACCACCCAGACATTGAGGCATTTAGAAATCCCCACACAAGAAGCTGATGGAGTTGCTGGTAGAAAAACCCCTGAAGATGTTTGTATGCCACATTGGAGGACTTGCACCTCATTCTGTGAGTACAGAAATGTTGTAAACCAGGAGGGCTCAAGGTCAGATTTAAGAGTTTTGACTGCATCATGCTGATAACTGTGTTGAGGATGGATCTAAAGGAATAGAGAGATAAGGAAGTCGCTAAGGCTTCTGCCCCAGTCTGGGTGAGGAGTGATGAAGATGTCAACTAGGACAGCAGGTGAAGGGATGCAAAGGAAAGGAAAGAGAGCTTAGAAGATGAAAGCAGCTAGGGCTTGGTTATTGACCAGCTAATCAGGGATAAGAAAATAAATGTCACTAAGGATGCCCCTGGAAAGGAAAATATGGATATAAGTTTCAAAAAGTCTTAATATTGATCTGCCCCAAACCTGGAAAACTTATGTCATTAGAGAAACTTGATTTTCATCTTCCCCCATCTCCATCCCTTTCTCATTAGGAATCATGTTTTAGAATGTTACGAGGACATTATGACACCTTAGAAAAAGTTCATGGTACTCCTTCCTACAAAGTTTTATATGACCCCTCCTCCTGCCACTGTCTCTGATGTGGTGTTTCAAAGTCTGAATTTGCCAGTGTGGCTCTTCCATGAGTCATATCAATTGAAATCCCTCATTTCTGTCCCCTCATTGCAGGATCTGGGGAAAGAATTGAGAAGCTGTAGGTAATGGGGTTAAATCATGTGTAGATGACACTCTTCATCATCTATCTGGATATCCTTGTGGCTGAAAGGGAATGGAGGGTGGCAGGAGTTGGGGGGCTCTACCAGCTGGGGTTTTGTTTGCCAGGGTGGTCTTGCTTTCTGTTTGAGAGCTTCTGAATCCTGTGATTTGCAACACCTGGCAGAACTGCCTGAGCTTGCTCTATTGATCTTGGCTTATTTCTTCAATTTAACAAGATCATCCTGAATTTTAATATTATCATCCAAAGCATTAGCAGTGCTCCCAGAGCTGCATATTCTGTGGATTGATTAGTGCATTTGTCACACAATCCTCAGAGCTATCAATAGAAAATATAGAGCAGGATTGGCCCCAGGATGGTTCCTTATGAACTCCTTGCAATAGCTGCTCTCATTTTGACACCAAACTATTAATAAGTTTTTGGTGTTCAATATATTTAGCTGACTTTTTACCCATATTTTACTCTTCTCATTCTGTCTAATCCATATGCATAGAATTCTTCTGAGAATGCTTTGTGGAACCATTTCTAATGCTTTAGGAAAATCAAATATGTACATTACACTTCTGTGAAGAGCATTTCTTCTCTGTTAAAAGAGGGCACTTGGGGTTTGCCTTAGCTGTGGTTAATGTATAGTGTGGAAAATGTGTGATTCCCATCTCTATGGGATATGAGTAGCTGGGAGGATTTGCTTTTCTTTTTGCTAATTTTAATTATACTACCTAACACAATTTTTTTGAGAAAAATTTTCTTCTTAAGACATGAATTGGTGTGAAAATACTTTGTATACAACCAGAGATATAAAAAATTGTGCTCTATATGCATAGTATGAATTATAATGCATTCTGCTATCATATATTTAAAAAATTAATAAAATAAAAAAATTCTTTTTTTTATTTAAATGTGGATCTGACATTGGCAGATGGGAGTTTAATTAATACTATATTGTTATGTTGATGAAAAAGTCCTTCAAGTTTAGGACTTCAGACAGACCACAGGTATTTACAGAGCTCACTTACATGTGTATTGATGGAGTTCTCTGTATTGTGTGTGTGTGAGGGGCAGAAGGTCATACTTTCCTCAGTCATCATCACTGAATATTTCCAGTTGCATAGTAAATGGTTTCCAATTCCTGGGGGTTGTGTCTTCTTTTTCTTCTACAAAGAATAGCCATTTCTTTTTTTTTTTTTAATGTATCTTCTTGTTCCACTTCCCCAGATCATTGAGTGGCTCCCTATATCTTCAAGGATAAGATCAAAATGCCTTAGCTTATATATCTGCTTTCTACTCTCTGTCCCTCCTCTTGTCCCTGTCTTGCCTCTCCTTTCTCCCTCCTTTATTACCTACCTGCTTCTTGATATATTCTCATTCCCTCCCTCCCTATCTCCCTCCTCCGCCACCGCCTGCTTCTCCTCAGTCTTCTAGGGCCTGGAGGACTGGCCTCAAGTCTAGATCTTTGCTCCTCTAAATGTGGTCCTTAGACCAGTCACATGGCTATCACCTGAGAACTTATGGAAATACAAACAAATCATAGGCCCCACTCTAGACCCCTGAGTCAGAACCTGCATTTTTAACACCATCCATGGGTGATCTGTGTGCACATTAGTGTTTCAGAGACTGTCCTGTACTCATGCCTCATTCTGCCCTGCACACTCTATGCAATTTGGTTATTGTAATTCATGTGTCATGTATTCTTTCTTTCAAGATTGCAAATGACACTCAAATATCTATGTCCCTCTTGTATCCCTTTGATTCTACTTCTCCTCCAATACTTCAGACTCTTTGTATTTCCTATTGCTGTGTAACTAATTATCACAAACTTAGTGATTTAATTCAACATAAATTTATTCACTTTAATTTCTGGGGTCCAGAAATTTGGAATGAGTCTTAGGGTGCTAACTAAAATCAAGTGGTTAGCAGAGTACCTGCTGGTGGCTTCTTCTGGGGCATCTGTTCCTTGCCTCTCTTGGTGTCAGGCATTCCTTGGCTTCTTGTCCCATGGCTTCAATGCTCTAATCTCTGCTTCTGCTTCATGTCATCTTCTCTCTATTCTTTGACCTTTTGTCTTCCTTTTATAAGGATCATATTGATTACACTGGGTCATCAGGACAATCCAAGCCCATCTCCCCATCCCAAGATCTTTAATTTCTACAGAATCCCTTTTGCCTGGGAACATCTTTGGGAGGTAGCATTAGTTATCCCACCTCACTCTCCTAGTTGTTTCTTTTGTTATTTGGTGCTCAGTGTCTATAAACATGTAAATTGCTATCTCTGATCCATTTTAAACCTTATTAACTCATTTTTTTCTTCTCATTCTCCCAGTGTAATTTTTCAGTATTTCATGATTTCCCTTTTCTTGCTACCTGGCCAGTTAGTATATTCTGGTTACATTTTCTTTCTTTTCAACTTCTTAAGCGTTTTCCTTTATTTTTTACATTTTCTTAGTTTCCTTTGCATATCTGACTGTCTTTGGCTTTTGTGACTATTCAATTGATTGAAATTTCTGTACGATTTTTCATTTCATGCCAGATAGCTTGTCAATTCTGCCCTCCCCTCCCAGTTGGGTTCCTCTTAGCACCCCCTCTAAACTTCATTGGTTTTTCTATAGTGCTGCTACACAGATATTATTCTGGGACTTTCCCTGAACATAATGGTCCTCAGTCTCCTCTGCACAGTGGACTAACCTGGGGAGCTTTAAAAATTGCCGCTGCCTGGGTCTCACCCCCAGGGATCCTGCCATATTGTGGTCTAGGTCTCAGGATTTTGAAAAGCTCCCCAGGTGGTTCTAAAGTACAGCCAAGGTTGAGAATCACTGCCTTGAAGCCATCGTGGGAATTTCTTTTATTGCTTTCTTATCTTGAAGCTTCCAATTTCTGGACCTCATTTCTTTTATTTTCCTGCTTTATTTCTTTGTTTTGGTGGAACATATTATTTAGTAGCTTCCCCAGAGAAGATGTATGGAAGGCAAACATGTTCAGGTCCTTCCATATCTGAAATTATCTTTATTGAGCCCTTATATTTTGCTTGAAATTTAACTGGTAACTCTTCCAATTTGGAAATAATTTTCCCTCAGAATTTTGAAGACATTACTCTTCTATTTTTGGAGAAGGAAAGGTTGGTTCATGAGAACTCCAAGTTCAGCTGAATTTTAGTTCTTATATGAGGGTTTCTCTCTGCTTCTCCTGAAAATATGTTAATATCTCCATTTATTTTTCTGATATTCTGTAATGATGTAGCTTAGTCTGGGGGGGTCTTTAAAAATTCATTTTCAATCTAGAAATTAATCAGTAGTTCTAGATGATTTGTGTTTTTTCTTCGATTTATTAACCTTCATTTTCTCTTTATGGAATTCCGATAATTCAAATCCCAGACCACCTGGATTTTATACTATCTCTTCATCTTCTGTGTCTTCACAGATTTTCACCTGTGAATATAGATGTCTCTTGGGTTTTGAAGATAGAGTTTGTGTTCGTTTTCTCCTCTCTTCAGGGTAATTTCTGGGAGAAGAAAAGAACAAAACCCTGCTTACTCCATCTTGAGAATGTAACCGTTATCATGGGCTGCCTTGTGCCCCCATCTCAGTTTATATGTTTGAGGGCTAACCTCCAGCATCTCAGAATGTGACCTTATTTGGAGATCGGGTCTTCATAGAGGTAATTAAATTAAAATGAGTCCATTAGGGTAGATTCTAATGAGAATGAAAGGGATCCTTATAAAAGGAGCTAGTTGGACCTAGAGACATGCATAAAAAGAACATGATGTGGAGAGACAGGGTAAAGATGACCATCTACAAGTCAAGGAGAAAGGCCTGGAACAGATAGATCCTCCCCTCACAGAAGCCATCAACCTGAAGAGACCTCGATTTTTTATTTCTATCCTCCAGAGTCATGAGATAGTAAATTTTTGATCTTTAAGATACAAGTCTGTGGCACTTTGTTCTGGAAGCCCTAGCAAACTCTCTCGAGTACTCTCTTGCTGGCTCTCTTTCTTTCCCTAGCAAACTCTTACAGTGCTAATTTCCATTTATTGCTTTGGTGGTATTTTCCATTCTTAGTCTGATTCCTACTTATTTTTTTAAACACAGCTTAGTTTCACCCACTTGGAGAAGATGTCCTTGATCTAGTTTAATTAAATGTTTTCCTGAATTGTGACAGTATAGTATTACAGTACTGAAATGCTTGCTCTCTTTGTCTGACTTCCACATGAGGCTCTAACTGCTTGAGGCCCCAGGATTGTGTCTTGATACAGTGCTTGCAGATGAGACACTTAAATATTGTTTATTGAATAAATATATCATCAGCATAGCTTTGGGGGAAGATGAGCAAAATGTACTTTGTTGAATGACAAAAGTTGAGCATAAATATTATATTAAATGAATATTTAATGCTATAAAAATTTTGTTGATACAGTAACTTAGACATTTCTGGTATTAAGAACTAAGAAAAATAGAGATCAAAAGTTTTTTTCTCCCCCCTCTTATTATTTTTGAACAGAAACTTCCTGCCCTGCCTACAAATTACAGCTGGGTAAGCATGCATTAAGACTGCAAGTGACTTTAAACACTCCATATCTAAAGGCACCATGTGACTTCCTAGTTTCTGTGGCCTTTTAAATGACACCTTTTATGTCTAATAACCATTATATTTCTCAATCGAAAACTAGGACCCATATTCTGATATAAGAACAAAGCAGTAAGTTTAAAAGGAAGGTATTCAAATAGAATTTCAATTCTTTGCTTAAGTCATAATATTTACTTTAATGATATATAATACTCTGCTTTTGAATTTCCTAAACAGAAACTGTCTTCTTCCCTCAGTTTCCTTTCTTGCCTGCTTGCTGGGTCTTATGTAAAATATTTGCGATGAAGACTCACCTTCTGTAATATAAAAAAGAAGGGGTCATCAGAGAGTCACTCCCTACCTTCAGTAGCTTTTCACAGTCCCCTTGTGTTTGCATATAGATAAAAGACAATCATAGTTTGTAGTTTTACCTGTCTGATGTAGTAGACTTTGGAGATATGAGGGATTTCTGAACACATGGAGCTCCTCTATTCTCATTGGTATTCCTGGAGATGGTACAATTCCAAAAGCTTCTTTCTCTCACTGGAAAGTGGTTCTTACTGTTTGATGATATATGGGTTTTTATAGTGACAGGAATGGGAGAATGAACTAAGAAGTGCTTGAGAAAAATTACAGTAAGGAAAAAGGGGGAAACAGCCTACACGAACTTTATGGATTATTAGTTCAGAGAACGAGGCCTGAAATATGTAGCTTGATGCCATGGTGCTGCTGGGAGTTTTATGAGAAGAGTGGAATTTCCTAAGGATTGGATTTTAGGCTGGCCTCTCTGCCTTTCAGGAGCTGGGCCTACAAGTCAATGTGAGGGAGAAGAAGTACATGACAAATGAACAGAATACAGATGTTCTTGATGGGGTTATATCCCAATAAACCCACCCTAAGTTGAAAATATCACAAGATTGAAAATGCATTTAATACTTCTGCTCCATTGAACAGCCTAGCTTAGCAACACACACAGTGTAGAGTGCCAGTGGTTTATCCTTATGATGGTGGGTCTGACGGGAGCTGCAGCTCACTGCCCCTGCTAAGCATGTAGAGATAGTATTTTACTGCATATTACTAGCCTGGGAAAAGATCAAACTTTGAAATACAATTTCTCTAGAATGTGTACGGCTTTTGCACCATTATGGACTTGAAAAATCACTAGTCGAACCATTGTAAATCAGGGACCCTCTGTAATTGAAATCTCATACATTTCAGAATATGTGGTCACTAGATGTGTGGAACCCTGATGTGGTTGGTGGGTCAGAATGCCAGAAGGACATCCTACAGCAGGTCCTGGCTCTCCTGAGGCTCCTGTGCTCCAGAACAGGCTTTGCTTTCCCTCTTAGAACTAGAAATGTGCTTCAGGTACAGATTAGGGTTGCAAAAATTCAGAAAAAAAAAGCATCGTTGGAATTATATGGTATCAATTGCCAGTTGACAAATTTAATAGGAGATCATTAATGAGCAGTGGACATGTCAGTGCTTCTAATGTCAGTGCTTCTAATGTCAGCTAGTTGGATATTCTTGAAAAAAGATCTTCAACTTCTACCAGAAGGAATAAATTATGTTGGTTATCTCTGAGGGGAAAATTTTAAAGCTTAATTAAACAAACAGTTAAATCATCCTTTAAAATGTGCTGGATGATTGTGCTTATACTAGCCTTCTTTTTATATATCCCAAGGGATGTCTTCAGATGCATGCATAAATCACTCAATAAGCCAGTGTATGTGGAGAGCTTAGTGTTTGCTCAGTACAGAGGTTGAATTATTAGCACCAGTCCATCGTGAGCAGATTGATGTACTGTGGTGATGTTTTTCCTATGGACTTTTCCCCACCGTATCTTTACAGGCTGGTAACCGAGCTTATAAAGATTCTCTAAGAGAGAAGGAAAACCAACGATTGCAAAAGATAAAAGATGAACAAAAGCATAAGGTATTTACGAGACCCTACTAGTTATTGCTAATTGTTTGCTTGAAGTAGTGGGTATTTTTTAAGGGCTTCTGAGCATAAATATTTAGATACATGAAAATTTTGAAAAAATAACACAAGCATCAATAAGAGGTGAATTCTAGGCATATTTTAAGAGTATAGGGATGGATCCTTCTGGTCAACATCATTGGCATACCTAGCCTCCATTGCAGGCTGCAGTGTGCTACACAGCTGGTGATGGCAAATCATGGAAAAGACCATGGAGCAAATGTGGACTTCTGATCTGCAAAATAAAACATAGCCAACATCACTGACATTTTATGTGAAATTATAGATGGTGGCCAAAGAATACTATGATACATAGCAAAGTAGGCATACAGAGTTATGAAACTGGCTTCAGTATTCACCTAAAACAATACATAAAGATATACTACATATGTACACAAATAATGTGAGGCTTTACAAATAGTTTAAGCAGTAAAAATAAGTGAAATAAATTAGATATCTCCAAGTGCTGAAGGGCCCATTCACATCAACCAAATGAAATTTCCCGAATGGAAACGATGGTGGCTCTCACCTTTGATGAATAGGTTCAGAGGGTCAGAAGCTCTTTAGCATGAGATGAGAATGCTGAGGAAGACCAGCCATCAGATGAATATCGTATTCTCCTGTCCTAATATTCTTCTTGCTATATTGGTGGTTGATAAAAACCTTCTTCTAGAACATCTCCCAAACCTGTTTTTTTTCCAATTATACAATTAACTAGAATTCTAACTCCCATTCTGATTTCTTTTTATTTTTAGTTATGTCTTTTGCTTCACAAGGATATTTATTATAGCCACTAGATGTAAAAATCACGTTGTGAAGTAATTTGATCCTCTTAAGTGCCACAGTCGTCCTAATAGTGGTCAACCCCTTCCTCACTCATGTTTCATGAAGCAGGCAGTATAAATGACTTTAGTTATCATATTGTACCTTGTGGGTGGTCATTAAACCATTGAGAAAAATAACATTGAGTTGAAATTTAGTGATTAAGCTACTATGTAAGCAATAAAGAACAATGAAACATTTTTACCTCTTAGCATTTTTTAGTAAGCGACTATCTTTTTGTTTTGACAATCTCTTCATCTTAAAATCCCCAGTTAAATAAACAGCATTACAGCAAGATTCTAATAATTGTTAAGTAGAAGCTAAATCTGATGTATATTCATATTGTATTTTCAATAATGTCTGACAAATGATGTGAAATTGTTTGACTCTCAATGTGAGCTTCCAACTTAATATTATGTTCTGAGGTACTTAGTTACTAAGGAGACTGTAGTCAGTTGTAGGCATGATTTCCTCTAAAGGAACTTCTTATGGATTTTAAGTAGTGTTTTATAAAGTTTGGTTATATATTTGGGACATGAAAACTACTAAAAGTAGAATATTTCACAAGGTGAATACTAAAGACTTTAGAAAATCAGATTTCATTTTCAGATTGAGCTGTTGAACACTGAAAATTAAACATTTTCTTTCTTAATCTTGTTTTTAGTCTAGATTTATACAAATTTTGGGACATATGTGTTTTCTGGTTATTGATTGAACACATTTTTATTACCTCTCCTTTTATCTAGATTATTGGATATGGCTGTCAGTGAAATGAATAAATTTAGTACCTAGATAATTCCTTCTTTAGGGACTTATAACAGTAAAATATATAAGGATATTTACCCATCTGTTCTACTTTATTTTTGCTTCTCCTTCCTCCTTGCTCAATCTGTCATTGGGAAGTATCCACTGAAGGCATTTCCCAATGGGTAGACTCTCTCCTTTCTTATCACTCAGTGATTTACCCTAAGAAAGCAATAATATCATGTTTATGGTAAGGAGAGAGAGAAAACAATACATTTGTGTCATTGCAACTATTCCTGTTTATTCATTACTTTCATTCAACAAACATGCACTGAATGCATGCTATGGAGTAATTCAGAGAGAGATAAATTAAGGTCTCAATACATTTATTTAGCTCTAGGCATCTCTGACTTTCATGTTCTTCTTGGCCTCTGAGGACAATAGGTTTATCCTTAAGGTTAACCTCTTAGTATTTTAATTTGATTCAGTTCCCTCTTCTAGATACTTATTTAGAATTTTCTTTTTTCCTATCCCTTCTATATATTCTTCTTCATTGACTGTTTTTTTTTTCTTGTCAGTGAGTATGCTCACTCCTACCATTCAAAAATAAACCAACCAACTCACTCCTTCCTTGATTCTGCTATCCTCAGAGTAACCCCTTCTTCTGTTTTCACAAGGGAGAAGAAAGACAAAATCTTACCGCAACCACTTGTTTATTATGCATTTCATTCTTAATTCCTTATGATCTGGTTCATATTCACAAATGCTTTTGCTGAAATTGCTCTCTAAAGGTAAAGTAGCTTCTGAATACACAATTCAGTGATCTTTTTTGCAATACCTATCTCTCTATAACTCTGTAATACTGTGTGATAACCTTTAAAGGTTTCTTTTTCTGACTTATAAAACAAAACAAAACAAAACTGTGCTCTTCTGGTTGATCTACCTCAGAGTAATCTATCTCAGTATTTGTTCATTCATTCATTCTATCAATTCGAATTCCTACTATGTGTTGAACTTTGCACAAGATGCTGAAGCTACCATTAAAAACAGAATAAGCTAGGGGTGGCGGGAGGGGGAAATGTTGATCATCAGATACTAAGTTATAGTTAGTTTATTTTAACCTGTGTCACCTGGTTCTGAACAGGATGTTGACTATACACACCAGTAGTGTACTCTGAATTTCAGAAACATAGAGGAAAAGGACTGAAGTTTCAACCATAAAGAAATGTAAACACTTTAACCATAAAGAAACACTTTAACCATAAAGTGTTTGAGGAGATAGATGTGTTTGGCTTGCTTTAAACATTATATAATGTACACATTCATTAAAATGTCACATGATGCCTTGTTAATGTGCACAATTTTTATGTTCTTTTGTGTCAGTTAAAATTGATTTAATAAAAGAAATAGAAGCCTTCTCCACTTAATAAAGATCATCGATAAAGTAAAATAATAACTTAAAAAAGAACAATATAGACAAGGTCCTGGACCTCCTGAAATTTACATTTTAATGGAGGAGATAGCAATTAAAATGAGGCAAAGAAAGAAAACATTGTACATTTTGTTTTATAGTGATTCACCTCTGTATAGTAATTAATGTTGTAAGGAAATGAATTATGGGTAGTGATGACTTCAGGGAGCTATAATAATGTTAATTGCTTCTTTCTCTCCTATAACCCTGATTTTTTTCAGGCATCTATCCCACTTTGCACAGTATGTGTGTGAGAGAAAGGGGACTCCATCCCAGCCCTAGGATTCAGTCCCAAGTGGTTCACAGGAGTTCCTTTCTCATAGATTGTGATGGGCTCTCCTATGGACATGAACTGTATTGAGACTAAGGCAAAAGTCTTTCAGAATAGATTTTTTATTGATTTGAAGTATTCTGTTCTTTCCATTTAATGATTTTTCAGCTTGATTCCTTTTTTTTTTTTTTTTGGTCTATTTTCTCATTCTGATATTTCCTGTACCTGTTTTTTGTTCTTGTTGTTATCATTTATGTGGCATTTTCTTTTCTCATTTAATTTTAACCTGTGTCACCTGGTTTAAAATAGATTTCTAGTGACCAAAATGGATGATTTTCCTTTTATTCAGTTTTATAGTAAAGGTAGATTTGATTTGTTCTTATTTATTATGGTTGCTAGTGTAATTTCACGTTTGTGTTCTTGTCGCATAATTTACTTTTCATTAATGATACTTTATTTTTCTGACTCTCTGGTTGCATTTTCTCTGGTTCCATTTATTTATTGCCTCTCTTTCAGTTTTTCTCCCTCCCTTCCTCTGCGACCAGAAATTTTACCGTGTGTGTTTTTGTTTTTAATCTTGCCTAGCCTTTGGTTGTCTCTCTTAATCGGAACATATGTGTCTCTCTTCAGTTTTCCTTTTCCCTTTTATGTTTATTCCCCTGAACTGTCCCTGCTTGCCATTCTCGGGACATCTATCAAATGGATTTCAGACATTCCAGATCTCTTCTCCATATCTCTTCATTGTTTCTTATATTTCCTCTCTTCCCTTTTTTTTCCTTTTATTCTGGTAGAAGTCCTTAACTAGGTCATCCTACTCAGTAGATTATTTCAAAACTCTGCCATACTTATTTGGCACCTGTATTGTATTCTGCAGCAGAAGAGTGGGAGGGGACAGAGCCCACCACCAGGCTGCTCTCAATACAGATCTCCAGTTGGTCACCCCAGCATTCCCTCTGAGAGCTCCTTCAGAAGCACTGCCAACTCAGCTCTAGTTGATCCTACGCATGTGCTTTCCCAGGTAACTTATTCTATCTTCCCTTTACCTTTCAGAAATTTCTTAAAATCTCCGATAGGCTGATTGCACTTATTGATTTTTGCATTGTTATTAATTTTATAGTCGTTAAAAAGCAAAACACCAAAAAAAAAAATCAGAAAATATTTTGGGTGACAAAATTTTTGAGGAACCCATAAAAAATTCTAGTAAAACCATTTTATGGAGAATGCATCAAAGCTGTGCTCAGAGAAAGAAAACTAAAACTTTAATCCATTCAGTACTAAAAAAAGGAAAGAAATGAATTAAGCATCCAATCCGAGAATTTAGAGCAAGAATATTAAATGATACTGAAGGAAGTAATTATGATAAGAACAGAAATTAATAATAAAACTTGAAGAAATAGCTGTTGTAAAAATCCAGCCACTTACTTTTTGATAAAGTCAAAATAAATCTGCAGGAAGTCTAATCGAGAAGAGATTAGCAAATACACAACATTATAAGTAAAGAACTGGAACCATAGATTTGGAAAAGATTACATATAAATTCCTACAGGTAATACTGTGCTAATATATTGAAAGTCTGGATTATGTGAAATTTTTTTCCAGGAAAATATAACTATAAAATGACTCAAAGAATTAAAATACACAAAGGCTAATGAAAATACACGATTTGGAAAGTTTTCTGAGAATTATTTTCCCCAGTGGACTGAACTTGGATAATTTTAGAAGCAAGTTCTTTCAAATGTTCAAGAACAGACTTTTTGTGTGTGTGTGTGTGTGCTTTATAAATGTTTCAGAGTAAGGAAAAGATGAAACACTTTAGTATTTTATTTAACTATCATCCCCATGATGTTACAGTCTGATAAATGAAGCACATGTGCATGTGTGTGCCCGCCCACACACTCCTTGTAGATACATCGTCTCATAAGGACAGAGATTGAAGTCTGAAAGAAAATTCAGCCGGGCATAGTGGTGCATGCCTGTAATCCCAGTGGCTCTGGAGGCTGACGCAGGAGGATCATGAGTTTAAAGCCAGCTTCAGCACTTAGTGAGACCCTAAGCAGCACAGTGAGACCCTGTCTCTAAATAAAATACAAAATAAGACTGGGGATGTGGTTCAGTGGTCGAGTACCCCTGAGTTCAATCTCCAGTAACCTGACCCACCCCCCCAAAAAAAAGAAAAAGAAAATTCAACTACTGGAATTTTTCTCTGAAATAGTAATTTACCAAGGCAAAGTAGAGTTTAGTCTAGGAATACAAAGATAATTAGCCATCTATAACTTACTATATTTTATCACTGCGATAGGAAAAAAAATTGAGAGAAAAAATGTTTGGCCATCTCTTTAGTAACAAAAAAGACATTGATAAATTTTAACTTTTGTCAAAAAAAAAAACAACAAAAACACCCATAACACTTCAGTGAACTATGAAAAAAAAAAGGATATTCTTGACATACATATTTTTCCAAAGCAATAACCAACATTATCTTTAGAGGTTCTAGAACAGTGAAAAACATAAGGTTGTTTGCAATCCCTACATGAATCGGTATCCTGGAAATTCTAACTTAGTGCTTCTCAAAGGTATTTGATGGGAAACCCTTAATGCAAAGTTATTTGGAAGAAGACTATTAATATTGCCTGGAACAAAGTTTGGAAATTATTTTAGCCAGCTTGATAAGAAACAAAAATTCAAAATCAGTTTTTCAATTGGAATTATATTTATGAACAAGAGCAATTTGCCTGTAAACCAGGAGAATTAGCTGAGACATGGTAGAAGAAAATGAAGGAGACTTGGTTACAAAATGTGTAAAACACACACACACACACACACACACACACACACACAAACATACATGAATCAGCTTTCTTAAATATTTGCATTATGCATTTCTCCATAGAGAAAAAAAAACCAGTTCTCTCCTTTAAGAAGCCACACAGAATTAGCAGGAGACTTGGTTACAAAATGTGTAAAACACACACACACACACACACACACACACACACACAAACATACATGAATCAGCTTTCTTAAATATCAGCAAAATTAATTAGAAAAATATAATGGGATAAAAAAGATCCCATCAAAGACCAACTATGTAAAAAATTGCTCAATAGCTGAAAAACAAAAGCTTTCCTAGAATGCATAAAAATCAATTTGAATACAGCAGAGATGGCTAATGCTCCTGAGTGGTAAAATTCAATATTGCAGTAATTATAGTTCTGTCCAAATTAAGGGTAAATTTAATGCAATTCTAATAAAATTTTCAGTGGACCTTGAGTTAGTTTGAAAAACTATTTTTAAATTTTAACCTGGAGAATAATTATGAAATTAAATAAGAAACTCTAGAAAAAAAATATGAATCATTTGTGCGTTTTTTGGGGCAAAGACTTACACTAGTAGCTATTAATGTAGACTATTGCAAACTCATCCAGTAATAACTCAAGGGACAAAATAAACTGGAAGTCTCTTTGGCAATATCAAATTCTGAAGTTTCCTCAAAGTTAAAATGTTAGTTCTAAAAGGTACACATTAGTTCTTAGGAAATAAGCAAAGATGTATACAAGATGGATGTACAAGTTTGATCATTTTAAAAATGAGATTAATGGAAACTTTGAAGCAATTTTTTCAGTGATAGAGGATTTGAAGTTTTTAAGAGTTGAAAAATCTTTGCAGCAGTTACTACCATATTTTAATGACATGGAAATATGCTCACGTACATGGAAAATAGATTATAAAACAGAGTGCAGACAAATGTTAAAACCTACCTCCTTTTCTTATTGCACTTTGTGCAAATTACTTCATTTCTCTAAGCCTCATCTGTTAGAGCTGATAGTGATGTTATTTGCCTCATGACTTTGTTTCTAGGATCAAATCAGAGAAAGCATGTAGAATTTATCCTAACGCCTAACACGTGGTAAGCCTGAAAATGTGACCCAAGGTGATAAGAAGTTATAATCTATGTGTGTAAATCAAGAAGAAAATATACTGACATGTTAAAGGAGCTTATCTCTGTGTGGAGAATTTTATGAGTGATTGTTTTGTTTTTCTTTTTTCTTTTCTTTTCTTTTTTTTTTCCCTTTGGTACTGGGGATTCAACCCAATACTTAACCACTGAGCCACATCCTCAGCACCCCCCCCCCCTTTTTTTGTATTTTATTTAGAGACAGGGTCTTGTTGTGTTGCTTAGGGCCTTGCTAAATTGCTGAGGCTGGCTTTGAACTCATGATCCTCTTGCCTCAGCCTCTCAAGAGGCTAGGATTACAGGGGTGCACCACTGTACCAGCTATTTTGTTTTTCTTGATAGTTTCTGTAGTATCTACACTTTTCACACTAAATCAGTGACTTTAATGAAAGAAAAGTGTTTTTTTTTAAAGAGGAGAAAGTTGATAGGGATTATTTCTAGGTGGGAGATACAGAACTACACGTGTGATTATTGTAGCTGGAGTGCATTTATTTATATTTACATTAAAATGACATATTTTTGCTATTTTAAAACAATTTTCCTACTTCACCCATTAGTATCTATTTCCTTTGATTTGGCTTGTCTTCTCTTAGTTTTTGAGTGTGTTTCCCTGTTTTCTTCTCATTCTTGCTAGCTCAAGTCATCTTTGGGGTGGGGGAGTGTCACTGTGAAGATCCTCAGAACAGGGTTTCTTTAAGGTTTCTCCCTCCCCTAAAAGTTCTTCTGGATTTAACATTCAAAGGCAGTAGTTTTTTTTAACTTCTTGGCCTTTCCCCTCCTGCTTTCACCATCCTTTTCCTCTTGTTGAGTTGAGAGAGCATCCTCTCCTGGGAGAAGTTTGTCCTGCCAGGCGATGGCACTTTAATGTTTACTTGAAGCAGTCAGGCTGAACCATGTCAGAACATGCCCCAGTGGGATTCAGACATGATTTTAAAATGGCTCTATCTTCGTCTTCAATTGCTATACTAGAGCGTTGCTTTTGAGCAAGATTTTCACTCCAGCCTCATCAGGTTTCTCAAGCCGTCAGACTTGCACTCACCTGTCTGTTGTCTAGCTGACCCTTGGATAGAGCAGGGTACTACTAGCAAATTGGAGCCCAGAGCATTGATTCTCACAACCTCTATGGGGAGATGGCAACCCCTCTACTTCTTGCTGGTAGCTTGGGCTCTAAGCACAGACCCTGGGTGCTATCCCATACCTCCCCTGGCATGCGCAGGCAGTGGCACTGTGTCCAGTGTTGTCCTCATTTACTATAGATCACCTGGACAACATTTACAGGAAGTTCTGTTCTTGGCATCTCCAAGGTGGTGTTTCACTGAAGTGCCCTCTTTGTGTAGAGCTCTGCCTGAATGTAGGGAGCTGTGTAGCACAGTGATAAGCCATGCTTTCTCTCCTTGGAGAGCGTTGGTGGATATAAATAAAATGTTGAACACCCATTTCTCTTGTTTGCGTCTTTGTATTTCCACATCATTGTTTGAACTTATGCTCAGCAATGCATTTCTTTTTGCTTCGTATCACAGTTGTCTCAGGGTCTGCCTTCCTCATTATACTGTGATTTCTTTTGTGGAGAGCTCTGTCTCATTTGTATCCATGCCTTCAGCACGAATCTAGTGTTTGGAAGGTGGTTGGTGCTTAGCAAATTTGTGGTGAGTGGAACACTGTCTCTGATGTTGTACGTCATCTCCCCTCTGCCTACAGTGTTTTGATTCTCTTAATGTTTCCAGCTCAGTCCTTGGAACAAGAGCAACTTATTTTGCATTTGTCCAACTAGATATTGCACTTCCATGTGAGAACCCAGTAAATGAACCAAGAATATGCTTATAAGGCGTGCAGATACATCCTTGGTGGCTGTCAGTTCAGTGGAACAAATTATCTTTGAAAGTAACCTTTTTGGTACAAAAAACTGTCCTTTTCCTAGTAAATATGCCTTGCTAGCTATAATAATCCTGAGTGAGGTTATGCCAGCACCTCCCTTCTGCCATCTAGAGCAATGTTCTTTCATGGTGATGCCTCATCAGCACCCTGTCCCCTTTCCCACCAGATTTATATCTGTTGTCACCCATCCCTGCCTCATGATGGGATGATGTCTGTTCTTGTCTTCCCTTCCTCTTTTCTTCCTTTCTAGCAGTTCTTAGCTTTATAACAATAGTATTCCTCTTTTACATCTCTAAATATTAAAAGATACATATATATTGGAATTTTTAAATAAAAGAGAGCAGAAAGAAACAAATGGCCTTCCACGTGGGCAGGACATCCTTTTTTTCTTTCCACATTGTTTTAATTGGTGCATTGTAGCTGTACATAATGATGGGATGTGTTGTTACATATTCATAGATGCACACAATAGAATAACATAATTTGGCCAGTATCTGGGCAGTAAATCTTTAGTGATGGAATAAAGAAGTAATAAGTTGTAACATTAACAAACAAAAACTGTATCTGATATTAAAGCTTTCTTCCCCTGCCTGCCCTCCAAGTTCCTCTGCTCAGTGGTAATTATAGCTAACATTTTCTTGTGTATTTTCCCATAAAACATTTTAAATAAACTATATGGCAACATATAAAAGTTGAAATAGATGTATGCATATATTTTCTACTTATATGGAGGGATCACAAGAAAATGCTCTGGATTTACCTTTGATGGCTTAATATCATTTAGAGATTTCTCCATAGGCCCTCTCTGCCCCTCTCCCCAAACCAGACCTCTCTTATTCTTTGTAACAGTTTCATACTATTCCATTGTGTGGATGGTCTAAGTTGTCCTTATTTGTGGACATTAACATTTTTCCCTGAACATTTACAGTTTCAATGACAATGGTAAATATCCATATACTATATCATATACATGTACTTTAAAAACACTTATGCAAAAAATGTGTACATTTTAAATCTTGATGGTTACTGCTAATTTTTCCTCCACAAACAGAATTAGTTTTCGCTTATCTTTTTCACTTACTAGGTACACTTGAATGTATCTGATTTTCTGTCAAAGTTTTCTGATTTTTTTCCAAAATGATAGAAAAATTTTTATCTTATCACTCAATTTTTTGAGTAAAAATGATGATGATTTTGAATGGTAATCTGACATTTATTCAAGAGATGCCTGTTCCTATTTTTGACCCTTGTTCTGCTTGGTTGGTCTTTTCCTTATTGGTTATATGAGGTCTTAGGTTCTTCTTTGGTCCTCAACCTAAAATACTCACTGAGCCACTAGTCTCATATCAGTGTGCCTAAATGCCCTGCCAGCTTTATGATAGGATGTTTTTCTCAATCGTTTATGGGTTTCTTTTCTTTATAAAATAAACAAAGCAATGATCTCATCTATCTTGTTCTCCATTGTAGCTCTGTTCCATTGATCCAAGCCTGTTTCCTATTTGTTCAGCAAATGAATGAAAGAAAAATGAATGAACCTGTGTCATAAATATTTCTTAACAGTTTATGTTTTTATTTTGTTTATGCTATTTTATCCAAATGAAAACTAAGGATGATGATGATGATGATGATGATGATGATGATGATGATGATGATGATGATTTGTGTGTGTGTGTGTTGTGTTGTTGTTGTTGGTGGTGGTGGTGCTGGGGATTGAACCCAGGGCCTCATGATGCTAGGCAAATACTCTACCATTGAGATATACACCCAGCCCTTTTAAAAAAGTTTTGAGACAGAGTCTTATTAAGTTGCCAAGGCTGGCTTTGAAACTTGTGATCCTCCTATCTCAGCCTCTGGAGTAGCTGAGATTGAAAGTGTGCACCATTATGCCCAGCTGGGTTTTCTTATTCAGATTTATCATTCTTTTCTCATTTATGATTTCTGGACCTTCATCACTCTAAATTTATAAGTATATACCTGTGTATCCGTTGGAAACATACATGGCTCATTCTTTTAGGTCCAAATATTAGACCTTTATAATTCTTTTTTATACATCAAATAAAGTAGATCTAATTTCGATTTTCTTTCAGTAGCTGCTTAATCTACCATCATTTACCGACTATACCTCTTTGCATTCGTTCAACACAACTACTTAAGGAGAAGCTATATTTCCATGTGTTAGTTCTATTTTTAGACTCAAACTGTTTTAATTACTAACTTTCATGATGTTTTAGTATTTGCTGGAACTGTTCTTTCTCATTTATTTTCTTTTAAAGGATTTTTCATGGCTATAATTGCATAGTTGTTTTTGTTTTTCCAGATAGATTATGCAATCCTTTTACCAAGTGTGAAAGATTATCTTAAATTATTTTAAAGTAAAATGTAACTATATGCATACATATATGTGCATATTTGCATATATAAATACATAATAAGTGTCTTATAGTTCTTTGTGTCACATTCCAGGTCTTAGTTTGTTCAGTCTTCATGGTATTAAATGTAGAATGGACTGGCTATTAAAGTTGTTCTTGTAAAAAATGGGTTAATGGATATAAGAAGAATTAGCATCGTTTGGCAAGAAGGATTTTGACGTAGACACACTTAGATATGTTCTGCTAATACATTTAAGTGTGAATGGATCCCAAAATCCTGGACATGGATGTTCATACTTGAGTACCATAAACTGCTATGAGGTTATCCTTATTCTTAATTGCTTATTTTGGTTGCATCTTTCAGAAAATGATTAGATACAAGAAAACCTAAGCCACAGTTTTATTTTGCTACTAGTGAGCTGTTTAGCTTTTGACAACCTAAACTGTATCTTCAACCTGTTTTCTCATCTGGAATACAAGCCTAATATTGCTTTTTCACTTATCAAATAATACATGTTTACCTGCCTACCTTTGAGAATTTTTGTGAGGGTCCAGTAACAGAATTTTGGGGAAAAAAATTATTTGAAAATGATAACATCTTCTAGTTAAATATCATACTTTAAAAATATGTTATTTCCTTATATCCAATTCTCCTCTCCACGTGTTCCTCCAAGAAAAAAACAATACAGGAATTTTTTTAAAGGCATAAACTTATAAGAACAAAAGAACAGACAAAGAAACTATAGAAAAAAGAAACAAAACAGCCAAATTTTTGATGCGGGAAAGTAGATGGTCAGTGTAAGTGGTGGAAGTAGATAATTAGTGAAACAGGAAAAGCCAGGACTCTTGTGCAAGGAGCAGTAAAACACAAGTTGATTAAAGTTCAGGTGTTGGAGGTACCCAGCACCTCTGTAAGCTGGACCTGAAAATAGGAGGATGAATTGGAAGCCTAAAGCCAGGAGCTATAGATCCCACCACCACCACCACCACCACCACAGTGAACATTAAAAAAGTTGTAAGGCTGAGAATGAGGTACACCAGGAGGGGAAGTTGGGGTTGGGGTAGAGGTTGAAATAGAGAAATCTTTTTCTACAGTAGGAAATAAAAAAAATGCCATTAAAAATGAATAAATAGAAGAATCTACATGCTATTGAGGAGATAATTTTAACAGATAAAACCATACACAGGAGTTGAAGGTGGTTGTAGAGGAATAGGAGAGCACAGGATCTGGTTTTATTTTAGTGCAAGTCTTGGTAGTATTAATAAATTGTATTGATACTTGGTGGGCTTTTAAAGGTATATCATATGTTAAAGTGATAAAAGTTAAACAGAACACTTCAGGCCGTTGTGGAAGAGTGAGACCCTAGCACAAGGTTTGGCATCTAGGTTCTTAATGCTTATTAAGAA